CCTATTGGACGCATAACAAAGCTGGGTACTGATTGGAGGCTTGCAGGTTTGAAATTGGCAAATGGGGGAAGTTTGAATTGACACGCGCAGGAAGGTTTGAAATTGGCGCGCGCGGGGAATTGTCCTTGCAGAGGCCGGACCGAGGGACCCAGGGCCTTTGTTGTCCGGTGGTCGGTGCCATTTTGGGAGCGGCCTCTCTGGTCGCTTCCTGCACCTTTCAAGGAGGATGAGGACACACACACACACTCTCACTCACACATGCGTGCGCATGTGCGTGCGTACACACACACATACTCTTCACCAAGTCACACACTCAGACACACACACATGCTAATTTACACTCATACACTGACACACAGATTTATACTCCCACGCACATACACACTTGCACTAATTCACACCATACACTCAGGCACACACTCACACTGATACATGCACGCATTCACACACACCCATGTTAATTCACACACAAACACTCACACACACATTCATGCTAATCCACACACCCTCACTCTCACGCTGACACCCTCAGCGCTGCTGCTTCCCTCAGGCTCCACTACCAGCCAAGGCTTTGGCGACAGGGCCCACTTCCCGTCCCACAGCACCTGGGCTCCAGCACCCCTGAGCGCCCTCCCGAGGACTCTAAAATCTTGCCTGTGCTTTAAGTTCAACAGAATCATCCTCCCTATTCCCGCGCCCTCAGCCTCAGGGCCCCCGTCCCCTCTGTGGCTGCTGGCCCCCCCACTGGCTGACGCACCCTCCCTTCTGAGCTGGCCATGCTGGCCGCTTCATTCCTGCTCTCTGCTCCAGAGCCTGTTCCCTCTGCCCAGAAGGCCCTTCCTTGCCAGTTCTTCACCCTCATCTGCAATGTTGCTCCCTCAAGGAAGACTTCTTGGGCCTCCAGGGGGTAGACCCAGGGTGCCCAGCGCTCCGCCCTTCCTGCATGTACACAGCTGGCATCAGTATATGTGACGATCTGGTTCCTGCACGCTCCCCCTCAGGCTAGAAGAGCTGTGGAGTGGAGCTTGCACCTGTTTTCATTTGAACTTCATTTCGGAGCCCAGCACAGAGCCTGAGGCCCTGGATAGCCCCTAAGCAGGGGCAGGTGTTCAGGATGCTACCCGGAAGGATGGGGCAGCAGGGTCACCCAGGGCCAGACCCTCTGTGTTTATATCCAGGCTTTGTTTCTTACTGACTGTGTGGCTCTGCCATCCCCTCTAAAAATGCACCTCTGGGCCAGGCATGGTGGCTCATGCTTGTAGTCCCAGTGCTTCGGGAGGCCAAGGCAGAGAGAGGGATCACTTGAGGCCAGGAATCTGAGACCAGCCTGGGCAACACAGTGATGCCTCGAATCTTTAAAAAAATTATTATTAAAAAATTATTTTAAAAATGCATCTCTTCAAGGAGTCATCACAGAAATGATCTTAGTTAATACATGCAGAGTTTAAAGCACATGGCATGGTCATAGTCTAGAATGCCAGCTCCATCACATCATGCAAGACCATGTGTGTGTCAGTCCTGCCTCTAGCCTGTAATGTCTCGGGGAGAATTGGATCTAAGGCCCTTGTCATCTACGGCACCTGCCAAGTGTGGGCATGGCACCGCTCTACCAGTGGTCTGCCTAGCTGGTTGGTGAAAGCTCCACTCACCCTCCTCTTTTTTTTTTTTTGTTGGAGTCTCACTCTGTCACCCAGGTTGGAGAGCAGTGGCACACTCATGGCCACCCCACATTGACCTGCTGGGCTCTGGCAATCCTTCTGCCTCAGCATTCCAAGTAGCTGGAACTACAGGTGTGCACTACCACGCCTGCTAATTTTGGATTTATTGTAGAGATGAGGTCTTGCCAAGTTGTCTGGGCTGGTCTCGAACCCGCAGACTCAGGCAATCCACTCGGCCTCCCAAAGTGCTGGGATTACAGGCTGGGTCACCGAGCCCGGTCCACCCTCCTCTTCTAATGGACACATTTCAACTTCCTGTTCATGGCACAGTCACATGTGACCTCCTGTCCTGGTGGGGTGAGTCGCACCCTCCTCTGGCTGGTTCCTCCAGACACCAGCACTCACTCATGCATTCATGAATTTATGGAGCACGTATGATTGTGCCAGCTCTGTGCTGGGCACCTGCAGTTTGTTCAACATCACTGGCAGGTGCCTGGCTTCACGTGGCCTTCGAGGCCTCTGGAGGTGGAGCCCTGTCTGGTGCCCACTGCCCAGCCCAGGGAGACCTGGTGAGACGGACATACCTTGTCTGGGTCTGGCCTGCCTGGGGGCACGGGAACCCTGGGTCCCTCGGCCCGCTCAACCCCTGGCTGGCTCACCTCTCGGATGACCTGTGGGAAGAGTCACGACCGTGAATGGGAGTGCAGGGTGGTGTGGGGCCAAGGAGAAACAAGTCCGTGGGGTCAGAGCCAGTCCCTGGGGAAGAGGTGGGATGACACAGCTGCCTGCAGGGGTGTGGGGCGACGGGGCTGTTAGAGGCTTTTGCTGTGTCTGTCCCTTGGGCTGAGAAGATGCCTAGACGGGCACCACTGCGAATAATTTTTGAGGTCTCAGAGAGTTGCTTCCCTGCCCTGGCCTCAGTTTCTACTTCTGCAACATGGGAGCAGGCAGGCCCTGGGTCGTCTGAGGATTGTGAGGTCATGGCTGTGGAGGGTGTGTGAACTGCTCACCCACAGGGAAAGGGACTTGCTTCTGTGACTGTGGGGACCTTAAACCTTAAACCTGTGGGGACCTTAAACCTGTGGGGTTGCTGGGCTTGTCCCCTCCATGTCAAGGTGTGGAAGCTGAGCCTCAAAGGCCTCACCCCAGGCCACACAGCAGTCAGCATGCAGGGCACGGAAGAGCAGTAGACGTACAAGCTGCAGCCTACAAGTGGCTTTCCTGGACAATCCCATTTTGTCCTCAAGCCTAGAGGTCACCAAGTTACAGATGGGGTGATGAGGCTGAAGGGAGGCCACCTGCGAGGGGGAGACAGGGCCAGGAACCCCAGGCAGGTACGTGGTCCCCACTACACCATACGCTGATGGCTGTGCTGGCCCAGATGTCAAGCAAGCAGGCTCTCCTACCACCCCGAACCCCTGCTGGCAGCCCCCCCTCCCTACCTCCTGACACAAAGGTGGCATGAATTCCATGGGGAGCTGTTCTCACTGGAAGGAAGGGTAGAAGGGAGGGGCTCGGTATCACTGTTCCAGCAGGAACATCAGGGGAGGAGACAGCTGGTGTCACAGGGAAGAAGAGGCCATGCTGGGACGGAGGGTCTGTTGCAGAGAGGGGCTGGGCACTGCTGTCTTCATGACAGCCATCCCTGACTGCTACTGAACACTGACTGCCCGGCTGGCACTCTGCCAAGTGCTCTCTAGAACCCCTACAAGGACCATTTTACAGATGAGAAGACTAAGGCACAGAGATGTGAAGCTGTTTTCACGTCACACAGCCAGGATGTGTGCTGAGGCCTAGGACTTTCGTTCTCCCTTGGCATCACTGTGCCGCCCTGTCTGTGGCCTTGGGAGTGGATTTGCTTCTTAGCCTCAAGTCTTGGCCCCAAACACTCAGTTGTGTGTTTTTGGCAAGTTACGCAAGTTCTCAAAACTGTGCCTCAGTTTCCTCATCTGCAGTGGGGGCAATCAAAGTCCCATTTTGAGGAATAATGAGGTTCTTAGCACAAAGCACGGCACATAGTGCTTGTATGCTGTGACTCACACGTTCTGTGTCTCTGCAGATGCAGAAGCTGGCCACAGGGTTGTCATAAGGATGTGCATTTCAAGGCAAGGAGGGAGTTCTTTCTTGCTCTTTCTAGGAATTAGCTTCCCTAGAAATCTGCTTCCCTGTAACTATGAAGCTCCCCACCCAGGAGGTCCACAAGCGCCTGCTGGACAGGCCCGCCGTAGGGACCAGAGAGGGCGTAGTAACTAGCAGGGGCACAGGTGGGACCTTAGCAGGGGTCTGCCTCTGGGAGGTATCCATGCCCCTCTCTACATGTACGCCATCGCCATGGCAGGGCACATGCACTTGGGCATGGGACAAGGCCTGGTTCTTCCGGGAATAGGAGCCTGCCAGCTCAGGGACAGGAGAGGCCCTGCTGAGGACCAGAAGGAGGAGGAGGACCTGGGAAGAGGGGGAGGAGGGAGGGGGTGAGCCTGGGAAGAGGGGAGGCAGGTGGAGCCACACACCTTCAGCCACTCCTCGGCCTGCTCGTGGCTCTGCAGTGCCAGCACCAGGACCTCGGTGGCCCCTTGTGAGAAGCGCAGCTCGTGCCTCTTGTGCCGGCTGTCCTTGGGTACGTAGACCACGCTGCAGACATCCAGTGCTAGCTGCAGGTGTGGCTGCCGGTCCTTGGAGCTCTTGTAACACTGGACAGGGAAAGAAGGGGTCAGGGCCATTGTGGGGAGAGTGGAACAGGGGGCGACCTCCCACAAAGGCCCAGGGGAGGCTCGACCCCCTGTGGAGGCCTCCCACCCATCCAGCCATGGACACAGCAGGGCCAGTGGAAGGCCAGGCTAGTTGTCCTGGAGGAGGCGCCTGAGACAGGGTCTTTGGTCAAGCTCCAGGCTCGACTACCCGTGTGGGAAAGGCTGACGGTGGCACAACACCGGGAAGGCCATTCTGCCCAGAACCACAGAGGAGTGAGGAGGCCTTTTACGGGGACACGGCGGGAACTGAGGACAGACTCTAGCAGCGATGGAGGGTGGCCTTGGGGAGCCGTTGTTTATCAGTAAGATTCTCGCTTCCTCATCCTGCCATGAGGCCAGTGACACCTTCATGCCAGAAGCATGCAGTGACAGCACATGAAGGGAACGTTATAGGCCAGTCTGTCTCATGACAGTTGCAGAAGCTCTGAACAGAATGCCAGAACAGGGAGTCCAAGTGTGTGAAAAGCTCACGCCATCAGGGCCTAAGGTGAATGGAGAGCTGATCCCATCAGGGCCCAGGTGTGTGGAGAGCTCACTCCATAGGGCCTAAGGTGAGTGGAGAGCTCATCCTATCAGGGCCTGGGAGTTCTCCTGGGAATGCAATGCTGGACTTTCAAAAACCAATCACACAGTTCATTGTATTAACAGAAGAAAGGAGAAAAATCAGTATCTCAACAGAGGCAGAAAAATTATTGGATCAAATCCAGCACTCATTTGTGAGACAAACTCTTAGGAAACTAAGAACAGAGGGGCCTTCCTTAGAATAAGGCACATCTACAAACAGCCCACAGTGGACACCAGCCCCAGTGGTGCATTTTAAAACTTCCCTGTAGGCTCTGGACCCAGATGAGGACACCTGCACTCACCACCTCCATACCCGCCCTGTCATGCATCCAGGGAAATGGAAACCATGAGGCCAGGGTGAGGCCCTCACGGACCTGGCCTGCTGTTGGCCCAGAGCGACTTTCCACAGCCTGCCTGAGGGAAGATCACGTCTCAGACACATCCACATGGGGCAAGGCTGGTCAACTGTTGTTTTGGGAGAAGAGCTATTATTTCTTTTGAAATTATGTCCATCCTCCTGCCCAAGAAGTAAAAGTGCACTTTTATGGAATGATGGTGATGAGAGATGGTGAATTTGAATACTTTCTTTACAAGAGCAGGTGGTAATCATGAGTGCTATGGGGGACACTTCATAGAAGACAGGTGTAAGGTGCAGGGGTGGGAGGGGACACCAAAACTTCACAGTGCTCACTTCGTGATCAATAGTTATTATTATTTTAAAAATTCCTTCTCGTTTTGTTTTGCTTTCGTTTTATAAATAAGTACACTTACTTGCATCATGAAAAACAACAAACACTGTCTTTGGTCAAACAAGAACTTGGTAAAGCCTGTATCTGGTCTTTAAGTTTGTGTGTGTGCACATGTGTGTACGTGTGTGTGAATTCTGCTCAAGGGAAGAGCCCTGGTCTCGGACGCACTGGGCCTTGAGTGTCTGTGCAGAGCCAGGCCAGGCGTGCGGCAGTGGACACACCCCCGCACCAGGCAGGGCACACCCACTCACCAGGAGCTGGTCGTCCCTGATGAGGGTCAGCTGCTTGGCCCACTGCCCGAAGCGCTTTTTCCGGAGCAGGAAGGCGCAGATCCTGCACTCCCTCACCAGGCGCATGGAGGCTTCCTCCGAGGGCCACTGGTGCCGGGGCCGTGGGCTCTTCCCTTCCTCCTCCTCCTCCTCGTAGGACTCGTAGGAGCTGCTCATGGCGTCAGAGTCATTGTCTGCAGGCGGGAAAAGCCTGATCACTGCACCATCCCAGGACGCACCGTCGAACCCCCACCTGGCACTGGGCCAGGTCTAGGAACACGTGGGTGTAAGCAGGGCCGGTAGTGACCGAAGCTCTATATCTGCTCCATGTTTTACAGATCTCCCCCTTGCTTTGCCATCCTGGTCACATCAATTCTTGGAGCCTCTGTGTCCTTCTCAGTAAAGTGGTCACAGCAGGTAACAGTGCCAACTCCAGCCAGTTACTAGAGGACCAAGGCTTGGAGACCAAGGCTTAGCCACGCACTTGGCACCAATCAGGGAGCTGCAAACCTCTGCGGTTGTCACTCTCCATCTGCTTCTGTTGTCTCAGCAAACCCCCATTTTACAGATGAGGAAACTGGAGGCCCAGCAAGAAGAAATGGCTCAGCTGAGCTCAGCAACCACGAGTTGGAGCAGGGCTGGATCCAGTCTCCTGACTCCCATCCTGGTGGCCCCCTGCACAAGGGCTCTTGGTCCAGGCCTGCTCTCTGGGAGGGCAGCGGGCATCTGGTACTCACAGGAGCTCTTGGTACTCACAGGAGCTCTTGAGCTCGCCGTTCATCCTGGTGGCAGGGTAGCTGCTGTCTGCGTCCTCATAGTAACCATCCACAATTGAAGGTGCCGGGCTGCAACCATCTGTGGGGTGTTGGAGAGAGCTGTGCTTTGGAGAAATGCGGTTGAATCTGGAGCCTAGGGGTGGGACGACCCTGAACCCAGGCCCTTCCTCAGGGAAGAAAGCAGGAGCCCCAGGCAGCCAGGGGTGAGACCTCCTCTCTGTGTCTCCTCTGCTCCAGCTTCCACAAACCTTCTGTGCTTTAGTCAACAGAAGTTGCCCTGCTGGGTCTTGTCACTACCAGGCCTGTGTTCATGCTGTTCCCCGTGCCCTGTGCCCTCTCCTATGCATCTGTCAAGACTCTGCTCAAAGATCTTTCCTCTGATTTTCCCAGGCAGGGAGTGGCCAGATACTTCTCAGTGGTCCCAGAGCACTGTGTACATGTGTGGGTACATGAGTGTGTGAGACTGTGTATGCATATGTGTGTGCGCATGCTAGTCACATCTCTGATGCTTGCCCTGCAGGAGGTGGCCAGCTCATTCTCAGTGGCCCCAGAGCACTGTGTGTGTGTGTGTGTGTGTGTGTGTGTGTGTGTGTCTGTGTGTACTTGTCACGGCTCTGAAGCTCGCCTTGCAGGGGATGACACACCAGCTCCCTGGATGCACTGGATGCAGCCTCCCTCCCGGCTCTGCCTCTGCTTCTTCCACCTCTGCCCTCCTCTCACTCCCTAGTATGTGGGCTCCCCTCTTTATCACCTGCATCTCTGTGACTACCAAGGAAGGGCTGGCCCAGAGGAGGTCTAAACAATGCACACAACTGATTGCAGTGGCTGCCTGAGCTGTTTTCACTAAGTTCCCATTGGGCTGAGGCTAGAGGCCCTCACACTGTCCCCTGGAAATTGTTCTGAAATGCAGACCCCTGGGCCGGACCCCTGAGATCCTGATTCACAGAGTGGGTTGGCTGAGCAATCTGCATTACAAAGACACAACTATTTAACAGGAAAATTCTAAACATACATAAAAGTAGAAAATATATCAAACTCCAATTCATTGGAACACATTCATTCAACAAATCTATCCTTTAAAATAAACAAGTGTGTTTTGATGCAGGCAGTCCCTAGAGCTCACTCTGAAGCTGTCAAGGGCATGCGCTTTGAGGTTGGCCAGAGTCAAGTTCAGGTCCTACCTCTACCATCCACTGAGTGACTAGAAAAGAAAGAGGTCTCTGCATGTCAGACTTTCGGCCTGGGAGTGACATGCACAGCCCTGCCATGGCCTTGAGACATGTATATCCTTTCTTAGCAGTGCCTGTAGACACAACGTTCTGGGCAAGCACCGGTTCTTACTCTTAGGGTTGTCTCCTTTGATTCCCACTGGGAGGGAGGTGGGCATCAACCCATTTCACAGACGCAGCCTGGACCAGATTGAGGGCAGTTCAGGGTTGGATGCACATCCCTCCTCCAGGAAGCCTTCCTTTCCCCAGCGCAACGCATTCTCACTCATGCTGCTCTGGGCTCCACCCTTCAGTCCCTTTGCTTCCTGAGAATGGAAACACTGAATCCCCAGTGCCTGGGACATGGGGTTTTATCTCTCCAAAGGGGCTTACAGCTAGCCATGCCCATCAGGCATGTGGCGGCCTCAGGCGTGGACACTCCTGTGAGGCAGACAGGAGTGTCAGGGCCAGAAGCGTGGGGTGGGGTGGGGCGGGAACAGGGCAGAGCGCGGAGACACCTGGCAGGGCCGGATGCCCGCTTGGGGTGGGACACTGTGTGGGCGGAAGGACACTCCCGAGGGTCTGGCGCGTTCTCCCTGGACAAGTCCAGCCCTTCCTGGCCTCCCTTCCCTCCTGGCCAGGGTTCCAGCTGCTGCTGGGAGTGGTTTCTCTGCTTGGACTGAAGGAAAATGAGCTCTCTAGGGGGCTGGAGGGGTCTCACCAGTGATGGGTTTGACCTGGGATTTGCCCTGTCCTCTGCCCTTGAATGCATAAAACAGTTGCCTGATTTACATGCAAACAGCTGTTTTCGACGGCATAGAACCTGAGGCCATCCAGACTGAAGAGGCCAAGGATGACCTGGTCTAACCAACCACCAAAGACAAGAGGCAGAGGCAACCAGTGTCCAGCAGCTGATGGTGGACAGCGTGGTCTGTCCATGCTGTGGAGTATCACTCAGCCACGGAAAGACGTTCTAAGCCACACCACAATGTGGATGGACCTAAAGAGTCTGATACTCAGTCACATAATGTAGGATTTTGTGTCCATGGAAGACCCAGAGTGGCAAATCCACATGGACAGAAAGCATATGGGTGGTCATGGGGGGCTGGAGGGGAATGGGAGTGACTGCTGATGGGGATGGCAATGTTTGGAATTAGATGGTGGTGACAGTACTGCCCAGCACTGGGGAAGTGCTAAGTGCTACTTTAGTGCGTTTTGTGGACACTTTGAAGTGGTGGAAATGGTTGATCTCCTGTTAAGTGTATTTAACGACAATAATAAATAACAAATCCACCCATGGTAAAAAGCACAAGCAGTAGGACAGAGTACGAAGGGAAAAAGGTGTTCCCTTCACTCATTTCTATTCATTTCCCACCGGACAACCCTGTTAATAGGTCCCTGCATAGCCTAGAAGAATTGCTAAAACAAATGCGTGTGTTGTGTGTGTGTGTGTGTGTGTGTGTGTGTGTATCCTCTTAAAAAACAAAGGGAACCATGACGTATGCATATCCTCTTTGATATTTTCACTGACTGCATCTTGGAATTCATTTCTACTCAGCACAGGCAGATTGATTGCACTATTTTTGGTGGCTGGAGAACATCCCACTGTGCTGCTGAATAACAGGGTGGCATCACACACATAATCCATGCAAACTCGACCACTCATGCTGGGCTATCCAAACACGATGACGTGTTTTTTTGGTGTGCAATACCGAGTCTCTACCTAAGCAAGTGATGTCATCTGCTTTTCTTTCTTTTTTTGAATTGGTATCTCACTCTGTCGCCCAGGCCTGAGTGCAGTGACACCATCGCGGCTTACCTCAGCCCAACCTCCTGGGTTCAGGAGATCCTCCTACCTCAGCCTCCCACGTAGCTGGGACTACAGGTACAAGCCACCATGCCTGGCTAATTTTTTTTACTTTTTGAAATTTTTTGTAAAGACGAGGTCTCCCTATGCTGCCCAGGCTGTAGGCTGGTCTTGATTGCTTAAGTGATTCTTGCTTAAGTGATTCTTCCTCCTCAGCCTCTTGAATAGCTGGGATTACAGGCATGCGCCACCAGTCCTGGCTAGTTTTTTTGTATTTTTTTGGTAGAGGTGAGGTCTCGTTATGTTGCCTAGGCTGGTCTTTTTTTCTTTTTTGAGTTGGAGTCTCACTCTGTCGCCCAGACTCCCGGCCACCGCAGCCTCCACCTGTTGTGCTCTGGCCATTCTTCTGCCTGAGTCTTCCAAGGAGCTGGAACTACAGGTGCGCGCTACACACCCGGTTGATTTTTTGATTTATTGTGGAGATGAGGTCTCATCAAGTTGCCCAGGCGGGTCTCGAACCCACGGGCTCAGGCAATCCACTCACCTCAGCCTCCCAAAGCACGGGATTACAGGCCGAGCCACCGAGCCCAGCTTAAAACAGTCCTCCTGCCTAAGTCTCACTGTGTCTGACTGATCTGTGCTTTTTATTCCATGTTAACCCAACTCACCTGTAAAATGTGATTTCTGTTGAAGCAAACTACTTCACTGTCCCCACGAGGGGAGCACTTGGGTTGGCAGTTTTCTGCTGAGAACAGTGTGGTGGGCATCTTTGTACCTACAACTTGGCACATGTACTTGGGTGTCCAACAAGCATCTGTGTACCTGCATCCTAGCATACTCAAGGTGTTCAGTTCCTCTTCTTTGTTTAAGGGTAGAGGAATAGACATCAGAGAGGGGAAAGGGCAAGACAAGGCCACATAGGACTGGGACTAGAACCAAGCTCCCAACGCTGGGTCCACTCCCATCAATCCACCCAGGTTGTCACCCAAGAGGCCAGTGCCAGGGCTGCCTGTCCTTAGCAAATGATGACACGGCCGGGCAGGTGCTGGGCCTGGAGCTGAAGCTTCTGCAGGACACAGGAGTTTAGAGTTGGCTTCTCAGGAAGTGCCCCAACCCCCCAAGAAGATCAGAACTTACTGTGGGAGCTGATGTACTCAGGGGACTTGCCGGGCCCCAGAGGAAGGGCCTCCTCGTAGTAGTCCTCGGGTGGAGGCTTGCTGGGGAGTGGCGGGGGCAGATCGACTGCCTGCAGGGGACAGAGAGGGCCAGGAAGGCTAGGCGCCCCATGAAGAGGGCAGCAGGAGCAGGGTGAGGCATGGAGGGGAGGCTGGGAGAGAGAGGCTGGAGCCGTCTGGGTGGAAATGGCACCTTTCCTGGAGGCTTAGGCTGGCAGAACTCGAGTGCAGGCCTGTCCCATGCCTCTCACCCTAACATCCCACGTCTCAGGGCCACCCTGGAATGTCTAGAGTTTTGTGGACTCCCAAATAGGAATTGTACTTTTGATTGAGCACACTCAGAGCGACGAAAAACTCCTGTGAATTCTGCATGATTCACACCCACAGATGCAGTGGGACAAGGAGGCCAGGCTTTCTACTCAGGAGGCAGTGACGCCGCAGCTGAGGTCCCAGGCGTTGGGCAGGGGAGCCCCGGCGTCACAGCCAGGCTCTGTCACTCACTAGCTGTGGGACGGTGGGCACATCACTAGCTCTCCCTGAGCCTCCGTTTCCTTATTTGTAAAATAGGGATAACTACTGCGCCAAGCTCATTCTGTTGTGTCAACATGTTAAGGACCGAGTAAGTCATCACAACTGGCACTGTTGTTGGTGATGATGACAGTGACCTACGCAGGTGATGGACAAAGCTGAAGGCACGTGGGCCCTTGCTCTAACCACAGGGCCCCAAGACTGGGCACCGCATATCTAACCCAACCCTTCACTCTGTAGGGGAAGGGAAGTGATTTGCCCAAGACCACACAGCAGAGAAGTGGGATGGCAGGGGACAGAGGCCATCCAGCTCCTGGCCCAGAGCTTCTCCCATCACCCAGACTGAATGCAGCAGACAGAAGTTGGGGTGTGATGTCCTGTGGGCCTGAGGGGATAGATCTGCTCTCACATTCTCCCTGCCTAGCACACATACAGTGGGAACACTATGGCTATCAGAATGCTCACTTGGCGCTGTTCCTGCCCTTGGCCACCCACTGGGACAGAGAACAGTGTCCTGCACGGCGAGGAGGAACCCAGGGTTTGGGGGGAGCTTCCCCTGCCTCCTCCAGAGGGATAGAGGACTGCAGTTGTGGGAGCCCAGGACTCACGTTTTCCATGGGCGGGCTCTGGGCTAGCTCCGGGCTGGCCCCTTGGCGGGGCTCTGCATCATCTTCTGGCATGTCCCGAAGGTCACTCAGGTCACAGTCTGCAAGAGCCAGGCCACCAACAGAGAGAGCCACACATGAGCACAGCAGAGGGGAGAGGGCCAGATATGGGGCAGGAGGTGGCATGCAAAGTCACCTCCTCCACCCCTGATGAACCCCCGTGACAACCCTGGGATTCCCTGTCTGCATGCCAGCCGCCATGATCCCCACCCTGCCAGTCTCCCAGGGCTGTCGTGAGGATCCAGTGGGGGTAGACTTCCCATTGGAAGGCTTTGAGGGGTACGTCACAAGGCATAACCTGCTCCCTAAGTCTACCAGTTGCCAACCCTCTTGCCGAGGCCCCAGCTCTCTCCCCGCAGGCACAGGGCTGTCCTCCCTCAGGACAGGGCAGGAAGGCAGGACCTGCACGCGCCAGGCCCGCTGCTCCAGGGCCTGGCCGCCTCTACTGCTCTGGTGGAGGCAGCGTGTCCTGCAGTCATTCGACGGGCAGGCAGGCAAGCCAACACCCGACATGCTGTGACTCTGTGGCCGGCACACTTGTGCCCACCATTCTCCAATTCTCTGGGGGCGATTTTCTGCAACTCTGCAGATTTTCACCAGACTTTCAGACTGGCAGGGCCCGGGGACAGACCAGGGTGACTCAGTGACGTGATGTGAGGGCCTTCCCCACAGGGGACAGGACTACTTACCAAATTCTTCAAAGAGGGACTCCACGAAGCTGGGCCCAGAGTGCAAGTCTGCGGTGTTCACATATAGGTAGGAGGTGTCCTTTGCTGTGAGGACAGGGGACATGCCCGCTGTGAGGGGGAGGGAGCCGTCCCCCTCGCCCCACTTGCACTGCTCGCCACTTGAGACCCAGCACTTCGCTTGTGAAGCCTGTTCCCCTCCTGAACTGTCCCACTGAGTTCCATCGTCTTCAAGTCTACACGGCTGCTGAGGCTCTCCCTGGGGAGGGACTCCCAGAAGCCCAGTTTGGAAAGCGGATTGCAGGGGCCACTGAGGATGGGGCTCCAGGGCCACTGCTGGAAGACAGCTGACCCCTCCATTCTGCCTGGGAGCACAGCAGGTGATGCTCGCTTGGTTTTGTCACTGAGAGGTGAGGCTCTGAGTCAGCCAATGGAGACCCTATCATACCCTTCAAACTCTGCACACTCTAGGGTGTGGCGCAGCCCATCAGGACTTCCTAAATGCTTGTCACCCTGCCACAGCCTCGGCGCAGGGATTGGGCTGGGCGGGATGGGGGCAGGCTGGCTGATGCACACAGGGCAGAGGGTGCTGAGCAGGGGCGTGGGATGTGACACATGAGACATGCATCTGAGTGTCAGGGTGCCAGGTGTGTGTCTGCGCAGGAATGTGGGATGTGTCTGTCTGGTATATGTCAGTGTGCACCTGTTGTGTGTGCTGTGTCGTGTGCCCAGTATGAGGGGTATGTGTGGGGCACGGGGTATGTAGTGTGAGTGCACGGTGTGTGTCATGTCATGTGTGGTGGGCATGTGTGTGGCATGTGTTCTGTGTGAGTCTGTGCAGGGCAGGAATGGAGGAGCATGAAGCACAGTGATGGGAGGCCCGAGGGGACAGGATGCAGGTGAGAACAGGTCCTGGGGGGTCCTGAATGTTCTCGAGGAGCATGAAGTGAGGGTCTGCTGTCGTGTGCATGAGCTCCTGACCTGGAAGGGGTTGCAGGCTCTGCAGGAGGGAAGCCACGGCCGCCTTCTTCTCCAGGGTGGAGTCGCTGAGGGTCTCATGGTCCAGGAGGCTGAGCAGCCCAGCAAGCTCTGGGAGTAGCTGTTCCAGCACTGCAGAGGAGGGGACAGTCCATCACCGGACGCGGCTGGCCAGGGACAGGCTGGGTGGGCAGAGTGGGCATGCCAGTGGGCAGGCTTCAGGTTGGGCGGGCAGCCAAGTGGACAGGCCCAGAATTTTCCTGGGAGGCCCTGCTTAGTATTCCTGTGAGGTTCCCCTGGATCTCCCCATCCTGCTTCAGATCCCAAATGGGCTCGGCCCAAGGACCGTACCTCCAGGCCTCCCCCGGCAACCCCCACAGAGGCTCTTGGCCTCCCTCTGTCCCAGCCTCCCTCTGTCCTAGGCTGCCTTCTGCTCTCCATCCCAGGGTCCCTCCTGGCTGCTGCTCAGGGCTCTGCACAGGCCTTAGGCTGGAGGCCCCAGCCATCCAGGACACAGACAGGAAGGGGGCCTTCCTGTCCCATCAACTCATGAGCTTCAATCTCTGGAAGCTTCTGTTTCCGATTCTTGGCCAGAGCCAAACTAAATGTTAACCCTTCTTGCCCCGAGCTGTCATTGCCCTTCTTTCTTTCCTTGTTACACCCATGTTTCTCAAGCATGATGTGCAGGAATGACCATGGGGTCTTGTCACAATGCATTTCTAACCAAGGCGGTGGGCGGAGCCTGAGAATCTGCATTTCTGACAAGCTCCCGGCTGCTGCTTAGTCGGCTGGTCAGGACACCCTGAGTCACAAGATCCAGAGCCAGAGTCCTTTAAGGATTGCAGCATGCCAAGACCATGATGTCATCGACGTCTCCCTGTCCCTAAAAATGACTGGGACTTGGTTTGTCTTAGCACTGGAGACCAACTTGATCCCAGTGGGGCTGCCCTGACACCAGACGTGTGTGCAAAATCAGAGGTTGGCCTGCGCTGAGCAGTCGCCAGCTGTACCAAGCCCTTTATATGTTAGTCTCACTTAAGTCTCATTTTATTATCTCCATGACACAGAGGATGAAACTGAGGCTCGAGAGGCTAAGTAACCTCTCAGGGTCACCCAGTAAGCGGGCCTCGCCCAAATCTGCTTTCTTCCCATTCTATTTTTTTTTGGAGTCGGAGTCTCACTCTTGTCGCCCAGGCTGGAGTGCAGCGGCACACTCACAGCCACTGCAGCCTCGACCTGCTGGGTTCAGGCAATCCTTCCGCTTCAGCCTTCCAAGTAGCTGGAACTACAGGCATACACCACCACACCCAGCTAATTTTTTGATTTATTGTAGAGATGAGGTCTCACCAAGTTGCCCAGGTTGGTCTCGAACCCATGGGCTCAGGCAATACTCTCACCTCGGCCTCCCAAAGTGCTGGGATTATAGGCGTGTATGGTGATACCCGGCCCTTCCCGCTGTTCTTTAACCACCAAGCTGTGCTGCCTTGGGCATTTTATTTGTTCCTACTAACGAGTCTTGAGGTAGGTTCCCAGATTGCCCTGCCTCCTGATGAGGAAACTGAGGGTCAGAGAGAAGCCACCCAGAGGCAAGCGGAAGAGCCAGGACTCGGCTCTGGCTGTGACCCCGAATCCAAGTGCTTCGCCTCCACTGGGCCATCCTGAGGGTCACACAGAAACTCTGGCCTGTGGTTACGGGTCTGCATGCACAAGGTGGGGACAACATCAGGCAGAGAGCAGGTCCTGGATTAGATCGCTGGGCTCAAGTTCAGGCTCTGTCCCTCACTGGCCGTGGGCCTTGGCAGGTCCCTGAACTCTGCTGGTGACTCTGATTCCTTCTGGTAAGCGGGGGAGATGGCAGCACCTGCCTCTTGGGTCAAGTGGACTAACCACACCACACACACACACACACACACACACACACACACACACACACACACACACAGTTGGCATGGAGTAGACGTGCGCCACAAGCCAGCACCATCCTTGCCACTGAGGTGGGGTCTGTGCAGAGCTCTGCACGGACCACCTCTTGCAGTGGCTGCAAGGCTCTAGGAAGTAGGTTGGACAGAAATCTCTGCTTCCTAATCGTCCAGTCTGGGCCTACTCAGTGCAGATGCTCTGACCAAAGAGGAATGGATGGATGGCCACAGCTGGGCTTTCTTTTAAATAGGAAGCTTATGTATAGATAGCGGCACTCGCTGGGACAATGTGATGCCGCAGTCTCTGGGCATCCTGTGGTCACCCCAAACTCGTTGGCAATGAGCTGCAGGCTGACAGGGATGGCCATCATCTCAGGCTGCTTGACAGGGGTAGCCACCGTCTTCGGCTGTGGGAATGGCGACTGTCTTGGGCTGGTGGGGAAGGCTCCTGTCTCGGGCTGATTGATAAGGATGGTCACCATTTCGGGCTGATGGGGACAGCCACTGTCTTGGGCTGGTGGGGTGGCCTTTGTCTTTGGCTGACTGATAGGGACAGCCACTATTTCGGGCTGTCTCAGGAGTACTCTCAGCCACCCGGCCCTCAGGGAGGGCTTTCCTGCAACTTCCTGCCTCCTCCCAGTGCATACCTGTGAGCCATCCTACCGGGACACCTGCTTCCAGGAGACAGTTTAGGGAGAGTGTGCAAGGCTGCACAGCTGGAAGGAGGTGGAGGTGAGTTGATTCCAAGCCTGTGTGCTCCCTGGAGCTACTGGGATGTACAACTCTATGTGAATGGTTGAGACCCGGCTGCCTCTGGACCGGAGTGCCCAAGCCTCACACGGAAGGTTCTGGGTAGACCGGTTTCCCTCTAAAGCAGAAAACCACTTAAAATCATTTTAGCCAAACTTTAGCTGTTTTCAAGAAAATAATTTCAGATGGAATCACAAACCTCCCTGGCACCCCCAGCAGACACACCAGATGTCAGTGAATGCAATTCTAAATGTGTACCGAGTCAAGTGGGTGCCAGGCTGGTCCCTCAGGGGTCTAGAAAGGATAAGTCCCTTTCCTTCCACAGCTGGTCCCGGTGGGCACTCTTATTTCTCTCTCTCATATCTGTACGCGGGTACTCACTCACAGGCAATCACTCCCTAGAGAGCCATGGCCAACAGGCAGCATGGCACTTGCCTGTGGCCTGCAGCTGTGGTCCCTCATGGCAACTCGCCACACTGCTCTGTGCTCCCACGGAAGTCAGGGTTGGAGTTGCATGGGGATGTTTCCCAACACCAGTCTTCCTGGGATGTTGGTGCTCAGGGTCCCTTTATAGCTTTTACATTTATGGAGGACCCCAAGAGCTTGTTTAATGTGGGTTGCATTTGTCAACATGTACTGTATTAAGAATCAAAACTGAGACATCCTTGAGACACAAGAACACACAGGGATGCATTCGCCAGCCTGCAGAGTCACACTTCATGGTCATGGTGGTGAAGGGAGGGGAAGGGAGGGAAGAAGCTTGCAATATCTTAGTACCATGGATGAGGCCTCTGGAAGCATCTTGGGGTCCACAAGGCACCTCCATCTCCAGCCACATCGTGAGAACTGCTGCTCTGCAGTGAAGACCTCAGATTGCTGCTAAGCTTTTAGGGTTTCTTAAGTCCTTCCTTCCTCCCTCCCTCCTTCCCATCTTTCTTCCCTCCTTCCCCCTCCCTCCCTCTTTCCTTTGTTTCTTTCCTTCCTTCTGTCTCTTTCTGCTGTAAGGTTTCAACAGTTTCCTGCCGCTATCCTATGTGTGACAGTATTTTGGCTTCTAAACACCCAACTGCTTCTGATTCACGGCTTGTTAGAGTTGTCATTCTGAGTGAGTGCTCTGCATTTGAAAACTGGAGTCCTACCACCCAAGCTTCATAATACCTTTTTAGTTTCCTTCCTGGTCTTTGATGGGGTTCTTGACAGAGGCCCTTGACTTCTAAAAGCTTTTCATTGAACTGAGATTTGATCGCCAAAGTCCAAACAGACCAGAGAAGAAGGAAGGGGCTGAGTGCCCTGGAGAAGCAGTGAAGAGGGGCTGCGATTCTGGCAGGCTTCTGCAACCTGAAGGAACTGGCTGCAGCAGGGTGGAGGAACCCTTCCCAAGAGCCCAGCAGTTGACACATGTCATTCATTTAATCCTCTAACACCCTCCAAGGAAGAAATAGAGGCTCGGGGAAGGGAAGTCCCTCTGTCAGCCCACAACAGAGCCATGCCTCGAACCCAGGTCTGCCTGGCCCTGTACCTGAGTCCTCATCAGAGAATTCGGCCCAGTTCAGCTCAGAGTCAGGAGGCTGGGTTGGGGCTGGGCATCCTCCATGCCACCCTGCAGAGCCCTGGCTGTCACGGGGCTCCTGATCTATGGACTCCTTCACCTGTGAGTGGCAGACCCTTACTTTGGGGCTGAAATTCCTGCTCCATGACCCTCTCCCCACAGGGCCCGGCTGAAATTCAGAGCCCTCACTGTGAAGGTCTCACAGGAGAAAAACAGGGCACTCACAGCAAATACTTGACTTAGCAGAGACCTCACCCCAGAGAGAACTTGACATATGTCACAGATCCAGAAAACCTTTCAGTTACTCTTGGCTCTTCCAGAATAACACAGAGCTCACCCCAGAAGCCATCTTTCAATCCAGTGAAGACACAAGTGCCTCGATGACAACTTCATCTTTAATGCTAAAGAATTCAAGACACAGGATTTAAAACATCTGAGAATTTAAATTGGAGAAAAGTAACATGGGTCTTATGTACATAGCAATGGATTCTCCCAGGGATCACACACACCACCATGACAGCAACCTCTAATTTTAGTAAGAAAATACCCTCCTGGGGGTTGTTGGAAATGCCCATTCCAGACCTCCTTTCCTGAGAGTCTCACTCGGGAGACCTGTACTGGGAACCAGGAATTTGCAATTTTTAAAAAGAGACAGAGTTTGCTCTGTCACCCAGGCTGGAGTACAGTGGTGCCATCATAGCTCACTGCAGCCTCAGACTCCTGGGCTCAAGTGATCCTCCTGCCTCGGTCTCCTGAGTACCTGGGACTACAGGTGCACACAATCACGCTCAGCTGATTTTTGATTTTTTTATAGAGACTGGGTCTCACTATGTTGCCCAGGGTGGTCTCCAACTTCTGGACTCAAGTGATCCTCCTACCTTGACCTCCCAAAGGGCTGGAATTACAAGGCATGAGCCACTGTACCCAGTCAGTAATCTGCATTTTCACAAGTACCGCCATGTGATTCTGATGCAAACAGTTCAAGTTCCAACCTCTGCAAAATACTCCACCAGAAAAAAACAGACTACAGGGGACATTTATGAGCATAAGGCATGTGGGAAAACCTCTCATATTCCTTAAAAAGTTATCATTAGACATCCTTTTCTGAAGTAACTGAGAGTCACGGTGCAAATAAAAGCCCCTGCAGGAGGCTGTAAGTAGCTGGAGCATGGAGTCTTGTTAGAACAGCACAGTGGTTAGGACTTTTGGGCTAGACACGTATGCATTAGAACTCTTGTGCTGCACCGAGTTGTGTGATGGCGGGCACACTGGAAAACCTGGAGCTCTGGTTTTGTTATGTGTAAAATGGAAACAGTAGGGTCCCAATCTCGTGGTAGGGAGGCCCAAGTAAGGCCACTCTTGCAAAGCACGTGGCATGGTGCCTGGAACACTCACACTGAACACCATGCTGCATGTTGTGTTATTATCACTGTTGCTATCCTAGCACTCCCAGAGCTAGGCAGACCCTACAGTATGGTCAGACAGCACCAAGACAGATTTGCTGTGGCTACACCAAGCTTGGTGAGGATGGGGTTGTGTCTAGTCAGTGTAGAGTTAGTGCCCAATGACCTTTGTGTTCAATGCATATCATACGCTGGTGCCAGAGTGTAGCTCTCGTGGTGAAGACGTGGGCCATGAGGTCAAAGAGACCATTTGACTTAGATATGTCACACAACCAGTTGGGGAAAAAGTATTTAGTGTCAAACCCACACAAGACGTACACATGGCTTGACACTTAAGACGCAGGGAAGAGGGGCTCTGAGCACAAGCTGCACATACTTGGCGCTTCCATCTCTCAGTCTCCAGCTGTGGGCCCTGGGGGAGACTTCTTAAGTTCCTAGGCTCCAGTGTAATCACAGTGGCTGCTTCCCAAGGTCACAGTGAGATGAAATGAACTGACGCGAGGCCTTGGTGCGCTGGTAACTGCTGGCTTCATCTACCTGTGACATCCCCATTGAGTTTCAGGAGTCTAGGTGGGCACAAGGAAGGGAGGAACGGGGACACAAGAACAGTGGGGGACTCTGTTAAGCCTCATTATGTGGACTACTCAAGGCCCCAGCCTTAACGCTGAGCTCAGAATGTCGCAGCAGAAGTGGGTGGAGCCCCTTCCCTCGGGTGCCCACGACGCAAGGGCCACTCCATGTGAGACGAGGAAACGTCTTCCACACGCAGGGGCAGGACTGCCACCCAAGAATCCTGTCCCTGCTGTCCCTAGCCATGAAAGATCTCACTCCCCAACACTTAAGTTGACATCTCCTGTCTTTGCTCCGGGCCCAAGTGGTCCACTCCTTCTGATGGCAGACAGGGACATCAGGACAGGGCTGTCTTCCTGTCTAAAGTTCACTTATAAACACCAATAGATAGCATCGATCCTGTTTGGTTTAGTGGAGTCGCAGGGAGGTATGGCGGAGTCCAATGACGAAAAAAAGAACAACAGAAGAGCCAGGCTAATCTTTGTTTCTAGTCTTCAATCTTTTCGGTGGGACAGGCAAGCACAGAAACCCGAGATGGGGGATAGTTATTCTCTGGATTGCAAAAAAGTTTTCAAGTAAATTTAGAAAGCTCTTTGAAAATATATCTGAGATGAGACCTTTGCTAAGTGCTTATTGCTCCTGTCTTGTATTCGAAAGTCACCAAGATCAGTTTCTCCCTGCCGCTCCATGCTGCCCACACAACTGAAATCACAATCAGATGTCACTATGCAGCAATAATGAAGCCACCGGCAAAAACTATTACCACTCGTCCCCAGATGCCAGTGTGGTCCACCTCCCCGACACAGCCTGAGTGAAACATTTCAGCAAAGGTATTTATTGCACACAATAGTATCGCAGATCCTAATTTACAGAAGGTTGGATTTATTTAGGGGTCTCATAGGTAATGAGTCTAATTTCCCTGACCAAAGAAAAGTGAATAATCATTCCAGCAAACCGAGGAGTATGAACCCTGTGGTGGCTCCCACCAGGCCGGGCCCAGGGCTGTACTTTGGCACATGACCTCACTCCTGTGCACCGTTTAGACTCTGGCATTTACACAGATGCCTGGAAACAGTTTGCAACCATTTCATTCAATGCAAAGTTGCAGGAAGATATGCAACTTCTCTTTTCTCCATCTCACTATTCGACAAGCCCCATTACAGAGATCATGAAGGCGATCTTTGTTTTCAGAGAAAATGCGACTAGCACT